AGGCGGCAGGAGGCTGCACCTCGCCGGTGCCGCGCAGGCCCTGAGCGCCGGGAGGGAGCGGGTTAACGGGTGGGATTGAGGGCCCTGGGGAGGGTGGGCGGAACGGAAAGGAGAGCGGGTGTCGGAGGGAAAGGCAGGGCAGTGAGGGTGTGAAAGGAGGTTCAGTTACTCAGGGCCACCTGGGGCCTGGAGGCCGGTATAGGCAGTGTGTAGGTACCCACCCCAGAGGACAGCAGTGAATCTCTTGAGCAAAACTGACCCCCGATGTGAAGTGATTGGGCTGCTTTGGTGTAGAAGGAGGAAGGTTATGGGAGGATGGGCTGACGGTTTTCAGTGTGCCTGAAAGAAGACACTGGTGGTTTTCTGTAGTCCTTGTGGGAAAGATGTGAAGAAATCTCCTGAGCTTGCAATGGTGGTGGCTTAGGCTGGTTGCTTGAAAAGACTTTTTAAATGGTAGAGTATTAAAATAGATGCAGCTTTTTAAAGGCAAGTTGGATAGATACCTTTTGGGGTAGTCAAAGTCAGAGGCTGCTCCCTTTTCCTGGCACTGAACTATAGCCCAAAATCTCCTTTGTACCAGAGCTGCAAGATACCATCTTTGGGTGTTCCAAGGGCAGGGAGTGTCCCAGGTAGAATATGATACTTGATTTTTCTGGAGCCCTACTGCATTGTGTTTGGGGTTAGATGGTGTACACACCCGTTGCCTTTCACAGCACAAAGCTGCATTGGCCTCAGAAGCATCTACACGTTTTTCTTCTCTGCAGTTGGTGATCCCTGGGTCTCAGTAGCACAGTCCTGTGGTTAGATGGTGTACACACCCGTTGCCTTTCACAGCACAAAGCTGCATTGGCCTCAGAAGCATCTACACGTTTTCCTTCTCTGCAGTTGATGATCCCTGGGTCTCAGTAGCACAGTCCTGTTGTCAAACAAAAGCCAAAAAAAAAAAAAGGGCTAAAAGCTTTGTGTAGGTAGCTCAGATTAAACCGTTTACAAACCACTGGTTCGGCACTTGTGACACAACTCGTTTTGATCGTGTTTGAGTGCAAGGAGTTAGACTGGATGATCTCTGCAGGTCTACTCTAGCCTAATTATCCCTATTTGCCTTTTCAAAATATGCTACTACTAATGGGCAGGTCCTGGTAGGAGTGGGAATTATTCCTCGGGCCTTAATTAAGTGCTATGAAAATGCAGAACACAAAGATGTTTATTGCCTTAATCAACTCCTGGTTTTAAGGTGAGCAGCAGCTGATAAATACAAGCATGGAGAAACTGAATGAGTCCCACAAAAGAGCAGTGCTCAGTAAGATAGCTGGTAACTTCTGGTTTATTTTATAGGCACCATTGCTACACAGAACTTGAGAAGGGGGTTTGAAGGAAAGTAATGATACAGCTTGTTGGTGCTCTGTGGTACCTTTGCTGTATCATAATATGGTTTTGTAGATATGACATGTATTTTTTTTGCGTATATATTTCCTAACTTGTGTCCCTATTATTGCAAGAGGCCTTTACTTGTTTAGTTACTTGCTGAGTGTGTGTTTCAGGTATAACTTGGGTGCTGGTATACCGAACAGACAAATACAAGAGATTAAAGGCCGAAGTGGAAAAACAAAGCAAGAAATGTAAGTACTTTTAGACATTAGAGAACATGTCTTGCTGCTCCGGTTACATCCTGCTTTAGCAGATGTCAAATTGAGAAGAGTCTGTCCTCTGAGAAATTCCTGCAAATTTTCTTTCTTCAGCTCGGATTTTATAGGAGCCTAATTTTACAAGTTATGCAAATCCATACTGAGGCAACTTATTTCTGTCCTCAATTCTTGTCTTTTGCTGGAGGGAAGGTTAGTACAAAGACCTGTTGTGTGGTCTGAATTGCTCTTCCTCTTAATGGAGGACAGGAGGGAGTAAGAGATCAGTACTGGCATCTTTTTTTTCTGAATATAAGTAGCCAGTGTCTGTATATGTAGTTTCTTTTAGTTGCTTGAAGTAAGTTCAAAGATGAAGTTCCTGCTTTTCAAGGGCAGTGGAAAATTTAAGATCTGTAGTAAGAAAGAACTAGTGTTGAATAATGGGTACTGTGAGAGGAAAGCATAGTATGTAAAGAGTAAAAGTGATGATTAACAGTGGGGAATGAGTAAAGACAAAGTCATGATAGAAAGGTCTGACCTATCAGCTGTTATAAAAATAAATTATAGTAGTATAAACTGGAAACAAATAGAGCTTATTAGGAAAAAAAGTCACAGTTTGCTTCTATAGAGGGGAGATCTGAGAGGCCCAAAGTCATGATAGAAAGGTCTGACCTATCAGCTGTTATAAAAATAAATTATAGTAGTATAAACTGGAAACAAATAGAGCTTATTAGGAAAAAAAGTCACAGTTTGCTTCTATAGAGGGGAGATCTGAGAGGCCTGGTGGAGGGGGATGAACAAAGGACGAAGAGAAGAGGGAGCAGAGGGTGGGCAGTCAGAGGATATGCATCGAATATTAACAGGAATGGTAAACAGGAGGGTCCGAGCAATGAGTGTTTCAAGGGACCTTCTGTATCAGAAGCCAGGTAGCAGAGAAGAAATTCAGCTGTCCTTTCAAACTCAATTGCATGCACCCTATGCAAGTTGCAGTGGTACGAGCATGCAGCGACTGGAACCAAACCTAAGCTGGTTTTACCTTAAAAAATATTTCACCATGGCGTGAGCACTCTTAGTGTGTGAGAGAACAATATTATCAAAGCATGCTTTTTCCAGTCCAGCTTATTCCAGCCTTCCCCTGGGCAAAATAAACTGAAGAGTTGAAGTAGAGTCATGGCTGTGTTACAGCTCCTGAATTAGGGGCTTTTGTCATCACAGCAGTATCAGGTGAGGATTGCACTTTAATCCCACTTGGCTGACAAAAATGTGTAAGGTAGAATTAGCCCCGGAAGAGCAAGTTAGAGAAGTAGTTGAAACCCAGCTGAAAACTTAATGTCCTAGTGTGTGTGTTCGGTGGAACTCTAAAAGCAGTTAGCAGGGCTTAATCTCTTAGGCTTAATGATTGCTTTAAGAGTTTAATGCTGTTTGTTTTTATAGCTCTCTTGATATCTTTCCCTTTACAGATTATAGCCTAGATATGAGGTTCAGTTTCTAACCTCCTTGTTTAATTCTCTACCCCCAACAACAACAAAAAGTAAAACAGAATAGGGAGTCACTAAATTCAGCTTTGATTTTTGTGGGGTGGTTCTTTTTCCTTCTGTGCTAAGGACAGCTGGCTGACCTGATGGCTTACAGATGACTTGCAAAGTAGACCACTTGAGCCACACCTTTCAACTGTTATCCAACACATCTGAAACAGGAAAAAACAGATTTGAGATCTTTAAGCTCTCCCATGAGAGTTTTAGCAATCCTTAGGATTTGCAAAAACAAATGGGCCAAGTAGTGTGCCTGAGCAGACTTTGTTACTCACAGTCCTTGGTTTCATCTCTTCCTGTCCTCTCCTTTCTGTTGAGAGGCACAGTATTGTCTGAAGCTGCTGCAGAAATTATAGTAAGTGTTCTGGGGTGAATGTAGTCGTAAATTTGCAAGGCTGAAGGCTATCTCTAGACTTGCTGCTGTGTTGTCATCTATGTTCCCACAGACAGGCTTGTGAGACCGCCTATTTGTTCTGCTCAAACTATAAGGGAATTAGGGCTGTAGAGTTCCTTGGTGTTGGCATAAGGCTCAATAGCGCTGTCTAGAGCGAAGCTGGGGTCTGGAGGAACACTCTTGTTAGGGCTGGGAGCAACAGGTAGGCCTGAAAAAAGTCAAAAGTGGTCTGCAGTTGGGTTTAGTTGGCCACGGGGTTATGTGGACTATGGTTGGGATGGACAGATTGGGATTCCCCAGCTGGATTTGGCATAAGGAAGGTTGTGGAAAGAGCATTCTGTGAGCACTGGGTGTGTTGTGTCATCTGGCACCTCTCTCCAGCATTCCCTCTGAGCAGACTTCCCTGTTTTTTTCCCCTTGTGCTAGCCTGTCCATCAGAGATATGCTTGTTCTTTGGAAGAAAACCAATTGTCTTGCTACATTACCATGGAAGAGATGATGTTTTGGTATCTTGTCTGGGCTAGTGTGGTTTTCTTAGCAGTTGTGACTGACTTGCATATCACCGGCATTTCAGAAGGCAGCACTACAAACCCTTGTGTGACTTGGAAGGCTGTCTGTCTTTATTTCACCTGTGCTTTGAAATCAAGGCTAGATGATCTGTGCTGAGCTAATACTTCATGTGGGAGAAGAGTCCTAATGCTCAGGCCTCTAAGCTGATTCTGTGAGCTAACAAGGAGCTGAGTCTATTTGTTGGTAGAATAGATATGGTAGAGATACATTGAGTTTAGAGTAAAAAAGGTCTGCTATCTGGTGTAAGGCCATAGTCATGCTTTATCATTCTCACTTCTTGTAGTACTCTTGTTATAGATCTTAAATTAAAATGTCTCTTACTTCCTGGAAAAGCTGCTCTTGCTGTCAGCGGAGGGGCATTTGCAGATGAACAGCCTATTCACTGTGCTTTAAGTTCGCTATGCTGGCTTTGTTAGCCTTTTTTTTCTGCAGTGGTAGTTGTTTGCAGATGCTTGGTGAGTGTCTGATTTGGGATTTTAGTAACTTTGAGCTTAGGCTCCTACTTTAAAATATTGGAAATGCGTCAATACTAATTAATTGAAGAATGGAGAGGCTGTGGCCGACTGCTTGAACAGCATTTCCCCTGAGAATGCTTGCCTGTGAAGAAGGGATGTATGAGAACACAGGCTTTCCTGTATTCTGCTTCCCACTGCAGATAATCGGGAGCAGAGCTTGCCACAAAGCTCTTTTCATTACACTTGCTGAATCAAAAGTACTGCCTAGTACTGATGACAAATCAGCAAGGGTCAATTGAGCCAAAATTGTTCCCAGACTGCTCAGTTAACCATGTAATGGGCTCTTGACATAGTTTAAAATTAACCCTTTAAACATTCTGATATCTCATCTAGGATTTTGATTTTTTTTAAGTGTTTGGTGGAGTCAGCTTTAGTGGTTTATAACTTGTTGATTCTGAATATGTTCTTAGTCATACCTGACTTCCTTCTGTGTCCCTGTTCTCCAAAGGAATAAAATGTTTTGTTTGTGTGGAAAAGTAATGGTGGTATCCCTATGCAGAAATGATGAATGTCTTTTTACTTGGCAGTGGAAAAGAAGAAGGAAACAATAACTGAATCAGCAGGCCGACAGCAGAAAAAGAAAATAGGTAAGACTGGGTGAGGATTGTGGTGACCCAAGAATGGGGGAAATTCGAGAAACTTATGGAAGTGATTATCCTTTCTTCCCTTTCAAAACTATTTAAAGTGATACTAGAACTGATTCTTGGCCTGATGCTGGAATATGAACGCTTTTGCTTTACTCTTCCAAACCAGGAGGCATCTAGCCTTCTGATGGTTTTAGTCAAATGCAGAGAAGGGCAGCATCACTGAGGAGCAGTGCTTCTTGTTGAACTGGTTGCCTTTCTCTCCAATTTGAGCCTTTACATCCATGAGTGTTGTTAACTTCTGTTGTCAAAGCTCTTTGCTGCAGTGCACTGTCAGCTTGCGATAGCTATATGACTGTGGTTTCTGGATCTTTCTTTTTTTCTCATTTGAACACTTCAGAGCTGAAGGTGTTTGCATGTTAACTATAACTGCACTTAGATTTATTTAAAGTTTGATAAATTAGCTTTGCTCAATTTTAAGTAATGTTTTATTTTTCCATTCTTTTTCATTGTCAATAAAGTTAAGTATTTCTGGGTAAAGGTAACACTTCGTTCTTGCATGGTTGAGTACTTAATGTGGTAGATGTTTAATGGACATGAGCTTTAGAAAGTTCTGTTATCTGTAGGACTATAAAGTAAAACGTGCAGCAAAGCTTAGTTAAATTATTAGAGAAACTGTTGCAGGAACACTTCTGAGAGCTCCTGGGAGTTGGTTTCCTCATTCCTCTCTAACACCAGGTAGCTGGATTAGTCATTTGATCTGTACAAAGCTTGGGAATAATTATAAACATAGCTTCAAACAGTTCTTCCTAGGTATAAAACCTGTTATTGCTAGACTCTTGAAGGGACAGGAGCCAAAATTCTTCCTCTTGTGCATGTTCAGTTCTTAATCTTGAATAATCCATACATGGGCTGAATACTACTTGGTGGATGAGGCAGCTTTTTAATGTTGCGTGCCGTTGTTACATACGGTCACTCTTGAATGTGTTGCAATGACTTTTTTGCAGGGCACTATCCAAGCTATGTTCCTAGCAGAGAGTATTTCACTTGTGCTTGGACTAAACTAATAAACAGTAGAATCTGAGGAATTCAGATGCTCCACCAATTTTTTTTTATACACTGAAATAATCTTGTTTTGCAAATGAAAAACAAAGCACAAAGGGACTAGGAACAGAACTTAGGAAGTGACCACTGATTTTGTTTGCTGTGATGCTTGCTGGCCAAGCCTGAGATATGGAGACTGATTTTTTTTTCTGCAAATGCTGCATAACTTCAGTGTCTCATTTGTTTTCAGGCAAAACTGAATTCTTATTCTTTCTGAAAAATCAGTCTCTGAATGTGAAGATGGACATCCAGAAAATTACGTACAACTGTTAACTGCTTTTGAAATCTCTGACCCCGGTAACTTGCGGATGTCAAATCATTCTGCAAGATGTAGTGTTGTTGTAACAGCAAATTTACTTGTGCTAGAGTTCCTTTAAATTCCACCATTCTAATTGGGGGGGGAAGAGCTGAGTCTTTACAGATAAGTCACAGCTGTGGTACAGACCTGCCTCAGTTGCCATCTGTTTTGTGCACAGAATAAGGCAGGTGGTGTGTGTATGATACTGCTTGGTTACACAAGGGGTGAATCATGCATATGCACAAGGAGGTAGGGTGAAAGTTGCATGAGAAGACTTAATTTGGTGTTTCCTACATATCAAACTTTTTATTTTTAAGTGTAAAGTGAACCAACTTCGGTCACATTGTGTCTAAATCACCTTTCACACTGCTGGAACAGGAGACCTTTAACATCATAGTGCTGCCTTCTGTCATTTCAGCTTAAGGAGTGCATTTGTTAGCTTAAACTTTGTCTCTGCTTTCGGCATCCACATGACCCTAGAAGAAATAGACGGTGACATTCCCATGAGTCCACATGAGTGCTGGGTAGACAGCAAAACAAAAAAACAATACTGGCAAATAATATTATTACTGTATCCCTGTATTCTTACGGTTTGTGTTCCAATGAGCAGAATAAGAGAATATTTTTGGACTCCAGAGTGCTGCTTGTTGACCCAGTCCTCTTTCTCAGTGCCTCTATCCAGCTGTGTAGCAAAGTACTTAAATGTTGCCTATGAATGACTTGGGCAGGAGTAGAATATTCATGTAAGGTGGTAGGACACCCAAAGCCTGTTTGTTTTGAATTTGTAGAAATGGGTGAGAAACAGGTCAGGTGTATCGGGGGGGATCAGGGCTGTATTTTTTTACCCCTATGTAACCTTTAGCCCATCTAAATAGATGGCTAGTTATGTAGCAGAGGGGAAAAAACAAGTATTTGTGCCAAATGTGATTCCTAAAGAGCTGGCTTGTGGCTGCTGAAATGTCCCAGAACAAAACTCTCCACCTGGGTCAGGAAGCAGGTGTCTGGAAAGTTCCTGCCAGAGTGGATGGTTTGTAGTTAGAAGCAATTGAAAATAATAATGAAGATTCTAAGAAATTGGATAGTGGTGTTGCTATTGCTTTTCATAACTTACTGAGAGTCCCTGTATTTAGTGGCTTTTCACTGGGGCTTGAGAGGTAATTTTTGAGCTTCAGTGCTGTGGGCCTCCTGTACAGAAACTTCAGCAGGGATCCACTGGACAACTCTCATTCTGGATAGCCCTTGACAGTCCTTTGATGTTACCCCTTCTCTTTGCTCACACTGTTCTCTGGATTTTTCTTCATCATCTACATCCTTACTTCATCTAGGTGTTGCTTCCAAGCCCTGGCTGCTGTTCTGGATCCTCAGTCTGAGAGGAGCACAGTGGAGAAAAGACAATGGGGACGTGGGACAAGAAAGGTGACAGGTGGTGGATAATGCTCAAGGTCAGAGCAGTCCTCCAATGAAGAAAGCTGGGCATCTTTGAAGTTTGTGGTAACTTAAGGACAGACTAAACTTCCAAAGTAGTCTTCTAGACTATTTTCTACAAAGTGTAGTAATACACGCATTACTGAAATTCATGTAGAAAATATCTTTCCTCTTTGGAGAGTCTTCTGAGTGTGACAAGGGTCCAAAATTCATTACTAAAACCAGCAGGACGTTAGCCTTGCTGAGGTGCAGCTCCCAGCTCTGTGTATGGTTTCAGAGTCCCTTCTGACACCTCCAAAATGAAATCCTTTCTTATATAATGTATTTATAATGGCGAGCCTGGTGTGCAGCAAATTGAGACTGCTGTCTTTTGGAAGTGTGATATAGAGGCGCTGTCTCTGTTTTTCTGGCAACGTTGTTCATGTTACTGTATTAGTTGGTCGAGTTAGCAAATCTGACTTCTGTGCATTTCTTTCAAAAGTGCTGAATGTGTGATCCTAGCCGCCTCTTTTGTGCCTGCTTTGATGCGTGTTGCTGTGGTGGAGAAGCAGTTGACTATGTCCAATTTTTTGCTTTCTACTGTCTGGCCTAGGGAGCCGGAGTTGGTTTTGGAAGTGTTTTTTGTTTGGAGAGCCAAGAAGGTTAAGTCTTCCTGGAAATGAAAACACTCTGGTTTCTAGGTTGGTATAACTGATTATAACTGTTGTTGGTTTTCTCTTTCCAGAGAGGCAAGAAGAGAAACTGAAGAATAACAACAGAGACTTGTCAATGGTAAGACATTTAAAGCTAGTTCCCAACTGCTGAAGATTTCAGTCAGCTTTCCAACAGAAAGACTTTGTTCAATTGACAGATGTAGCAGCTTTTCCTCCTGAAAGATCCTTCTGGATTATCTCTAATAGCTACAGATTTTAGTATGAGCCACAGAGTTCTCCAGCAGTTACTGCCTTGTCTCATGCCCAACCTTAGCTATTTTCATCTTTATAAGTCTCCATGATGTTTTCAAAGTAGAATTAATTTGTCTGACTTCTTGTAAACTCTCATCGTAATGATCCCCTGGTGATTGGTTGTATAGGCTTGAAGGGAGGGAAAAAAAAAAAACAACCCCCAAACAAAAACCTGTGGAAGGTAACAGGACAGTTCTTGAGCACTTTTTTTCCCCCCCTCCCCCTGAAGCAGCTTTTCATATCACTGGTCCACTCTGGCTGCCTTTGTACCCAGCTGTTGACCAGACTTCTCTTTGGGAGTTCTCCAGTCACTTTTACAGTCTCTCTGACCTTCTGGATCATCTTTTTTTTCCCTTCTAGATTCCAGTGATGCTGGAAACAAAGTCTGTTCTTAAGGATGTCAGCCTGTAATCCCTCAGTATAGGCCTGTTTTGATTATCTCTGACCTTTCTGCTTGCAGGTTCGGATGAAATCCATGTTTGCCATTGGCTTCTGCTTCACTGCCTTGATGGGAATGTTTAACTCCATGTAAGTATTAACTTTCTGCATTTTTCTTAAATTTTCATGGTGAATATATTCTCTACCTTCCTTCTATCACCTGAAGTGTTACAGTGACAGAGTCTATCCAAACCCCACAACTAATCTGTATAAAATGGATCAGTATTTCATATGAAGATGCAGTTATTTGTCACCACACACATGCTGTGCTCAAGAGGGAGCACTGCATGCTGAATACAATCAAATTGAACAAATTGCATTCAGTCTAGACACAACTTTAACATCCTTTCTGCTTGGGAGCATCTTGGTAAGGGCAAGCTTGGTAGAAGTCAGGCAAGCAGCTACACTCATCAGCTTCTTTGGCTTTGCTATAATAATGTGACCAAAGAATGCTCTCGCAAGCAAAACTGGGTCAGCTCCCTTGCCCTTAGAAATGAGCTGTAATTGCAGAGTTCATTGTTGCCCTACTTAAGGTGATCAGAGTCAAGATATTAACAGGTCCAGGCATGGGCTCTAATCTTCCTTTGTTTTAAAAATGACCTGGGATAGGTCCATTTCTTAAAAAAACAAAGACAAAAAAAAGCCCAAACTGGTTTGCATGGTTATAGACAGCTTGGTTTCAGACATGCAAAACTGAAAGACTCTGCTTGACTTTTAAAACTTGATTCAGTCTTGAAATGTGAACTTCCCATTGGTTATTAAATCTGAAGGTAACATGAATATGGTTAGTATAACCTTCAGGAGGCAGCTTAATATCTGGGCAACATACTTGTCCTGCAAACAGGATTTTATGTTCTTGGGCACCAAAACCTTTGGCCGCTGCTGGCAGTCCCTAGGATACAGTCAATGGTTATTTTACTGCAGATCTGTGGGTGGATAAATTGCAAACGGGGGTAATGTAATAACAGAAGTGCCACTGTGTGGACTCTTTATTCAGCTTAGTCAGGCTTCAGCATCTAGCATTCTCAGGAATGCTGTGAAACTGAGCAGAACACCACAGCACTAAAGGACTTCAAAATTTGGGTACAGTCTTGAGTCACTGACAGCTCATTAAACTGCAGACCGGAGCAGGGATGGAGGTGCATAGTGAGTCATGTGTCCAGGAGGGATTTATAGTACTGTACCTGAGACACTCCAGTGCTTGCCTGTTTGGGTGCAATACAAAGACCACCACCCCCCCTGCCCCTGAAACACTGAAAAACAAACTAAAAACTCCATTCTACTCTGCCCACTTTCTTAAAGTGGGAAGAGGCAGTTCAAAGTATGCTATGACTGACAAGTTACAGGACTGTTCATTAACAGCTTTAGGAAGGAATTGATTTTGGTTAAATCCTGTGTGGCTCCTTTCAAAGATATTAACCTAAAAAAAAAAAGCATGTTTTTTGTTTGTTCTCCTTTAAGACCACCAAGTTTACTTGTCGTCTTCATCTTTTGAGGATTCCTGCCCATGGAGACCATGCTATAAGCTGCGGAGTTGACATGAAGCTTTTGGGCATATCCTTCCTTTAACTGTCCCTTTCTTGAGAGGGAACCTGAACAGCAGGAGTATCCAGAGACCTCGCTGGTTGTTCAAATAGAAATAGCTTTCTTGCTAATAGCTGAGGCTGTTGAATTAAAATCTAAAGATTTGACTGTCTTGCCTTTGGGGCTAGATAGTTAATTTTTTTGCTCCTGGTCTCAGTACAAGGTAGCTAGTGCATTTGTATCTGAACGGCAGCTTTGGCGCGTTGCACTTGCGCTGTTTGAAACTGATAGAATGGTTTGATGGAGCTGGTTCTCAGTTATGTGCTGTCATTGTCTTGACATAGCATAAAGAGCAGCTGCTTGTCTCAGGAGGATGGTACTTCAGTTATGAACTCAGGAGGCTCTTAGGCTCCCTTTGGGAAACTGCTGCTGCCAGGTCATCCACGGAGGCCCTGTGGGTGTGGTATGCAAAGGAGGAAAGGGTAACTGACACCTGCAGTGGCTGTAGCCTTATTTGCTTGCCTTTCCTGTTCTTGAATGAGTTCAATGCTCTGGGGGACAAAAGGAGCGGGAATTGCATGAAGTAGCATGAAGTGCTGCCCTTTGGACAAGTACTATGCAGACACTGCTGCTCTGTGTCTGCACATCTCGCCTTTGCCAAGTGCCAGGCTAGCCAAAATGGAAATGATGGTGATGCCTGCCTCTCTTCCTTAGAGTGTCAGTAGTAATGGGGCAGTGGGGTGATCCATGCTGGAAGGATATGTAAGTGTCAGGAAGGCTGGTTTAAACCCAAAGAGCAGAATGCTGTGCTGAAGATGAGCAGCTGAATGACTATTGTGTCTTAAAACGTACGCTAGGGCAGCAAGATCTGTAGTGGTGGTGGCCTCCAAGCAGATGGGATCTCTTCTGAGAGAGACATTAGCTTCTGTATGTCTCAGTTTTCCTCGTGTCAGAAACTTTTTAATGCAGTCAGTCTTGCTCTGAGTTGTGCATTTCAGTACCCCTTCATGATAACTGTGAAAACCTGCTGGAATTAAAAGCAGGTACCTCGGAGTGCTGCTGCTGAAGTACTTGTCATTCTCACAGCAGAAACCGCTGGGGGATGTTACAGGGAGATAAACATCCGTTCCTAGGTCTTTTGCCAAACTGCCTGTGAGATGTAAACAAAGTTGGTGTGTGTTTGAGCTGTAGCTGTGTGAACACATCTCCACAGGAAAGAAGGCTCATTTAGGATCTCTTGAAACAAGAAACACCTGTTAGAAAATCAGTGCATGCAGAGAAAATAACATCCAAATATGCACATGCTGATGAGGCATCATACACAATTACTTCAAAAGATTGGGTCGACTGCCTGGGTTGGAAGAAATCTTTGCAAACTGGCCAGAATTCACACTCTGCCTGATGCCCTGGAATGTGGACCTGGAGGAGTTCCAGGAGCAGGATAGGCTGCTTGAAATATGTGGCATCATCCTGCCTCAGCACTGCCTTCGTCTTCAGAGCTAATGCAGAGAAGACTGTTGGTATTATAAGAGCCATCAACAGAATGCTCTTTACATCCTTCTTGTGCTGAGAAGTGTAGCTGTTCTGGGAAAGGAAAAGGTGCCTGTGGTTTATGCTCTGCTTAAAAAAAAAAACCTCTTTTGCTTAATACGGTAACTGCAATACTGCAGGGTGGCGGTCATCCGTCTTTTATTCAAGTGCTGACTGTGTTCTGAGGAGTGATCTGCTAAATATGCCTTTTGAATAAAATGCATCCGTAAACTGCAAAACACCAACTGAGATTTTATGAACCAATAGCTTGCCCAGCTGATCACTTAAATCACTATGAAACACTGACTGTGGCAAAACGGTTACTGAGGGAAGCCTGCTTACCCTGTGGGTGCTTGGGTGTAGAAGGCTTTGAGAAAGGTGTAACTAGCCTCTTTAGTGTAGTGTATACAGAGGTGGGCTGGAGAAGGCAGCATGGCTTTTTAGCCTTCCACATGGTCTTGTCTGCTCTGGTGGCCTGTTGAAGATGCTCACTTGTTCTTTCTATAGCCAAAGGCTCTTGCACTGTTCCTGGTGTGATCCGGTGTTCTTTTTTTTTCCAGATTTGATGGCCGAGTGGTGGCAAAGCTTCCATTTATCCCCCTCTCATACATCCAGGGTCTCTCCCACCGCAACCTTCTAGGTGAGGACTACACTGACTGCTCCTTCATCTTCCTCTACATTCTCTGCACAATGTCAATCAGACAGGTGAGTACACTGCTATGTCTCTTGCATGCCTGGAGCAGGGAAAGCACATCTCCATATTCAAAGGAGTTCTAGGTTGGGATCACAAAAACAGCCACTTTCCTGGACTGATGTGGAAGACTTGACTGGAGACTTGCACCAGGGTGCTAGGATGGAGTTGGCAGAAATGAGTTCCTTCCTTGTGTGTGTGTCTGATAACTTTGCGAAGAGATTAACGTAACAAGAGATTAACGTAACCCAGAGGCTTTACCTTCAGAAGCCAATCCAAGTACTGCTTCTTAGTAATTATGACTTTTATAGTAATATGAGAGAAGATAAGTGTAGTATCTTCAAGGGAAACTTCAGAGGTGGCTTGAGGTTCTGTAGAGGTTCAATTAGTCCATGAACCTGCTAGAAAAATGAGGAAACAGTTAAACGTGTTCTTTTGGGTTTGTCCTTCCTGTTTTTTTGCAGACTGCCTGATATCTTTTTTTTTTCCAGAGGCTTTACCTTTGGTGTCAGGTCTCTCCCAGAGTAAGCGACGTGACACAGAAAGGAGGTCTGGTACAATAAGTCAAGAGTAGGCTACACGCAGCTCCCCAGTGAAGCTGATTCTCTTTTTGAAAAAAGAAGCATCAGTGAGGATAAGGGGAAATGCCTGTTCAGGAAGGTTCACTAGCAGCTTAAGTGGCAGAACAGCTGGTGAGGGCAAGTGGGCCTTCTCAGTGCAACCAGAAATCTGCTTTGTTTGCCAAATTTTCCCAGAGAGTGCTGGGGATAAGTTAATGGACTCTGGGGGCTGGATGAATGCTGGTGCAACTAGCTGCAAATTATCTGCTCTTCTGTATTTACATTTCCTTTTTCTTTGATTCACTTCCTGAATTCTTGATGCTTTTCTCCTTGACCGACTTGTTGCTTTTCCTCAGGGGATGCCAAGGGACTTAAAAGACTTAAAGCAGATCAGCAAAGGGAAGTGATGTGTTATGCCAGTTGCTGTCAGAAGTTTGGATGAGCTTGATGGAGAAGCTTAATAACAGAGTTCCTTCAGTCATAAAGTGCATGCTAATGAATTGAATTCTCCATAGTTCTCTGTACTGGGTGCTTGTGTTGAAATGGATTTGTGTGGTTCTATGTGAAAGCAGGTAATGAATTGTAGAATAACTTATGTTGAAAGCGTCATCTGGCCCACCCCTCACTCCAAGCAGGGCCAGCTTCAGAGTACCAAAGATTTCCTCATTCTGTTTGCTACAAGACAAATCTTGTTTCACTTCCCAGTAACTGGAGTGGTGTTTGCTACTTTGAAAGACATGAGACCTTTTTAGCTCTCAGGATCATCTTCCTGAATTCCTGGGATGCTATGATCTGATGCTGTTCTTCAGGCAATATTGTCTGGTGCTGCTCTGTGTTACTCACCTGTTATGTGGAAAGTCCCTTCTTTCCAGTGTTGCAGATTGTTATCTGAAACTAAATAGCACCATCAGCAAGATTTTTCAGCACCCATTGGGCTGATTGGGGAACTCCCTTGCTGAAAAATCCCCCATAGATTTTTTTTTTTGGTCAAAAAATATAATTCCTGTGGTTAGTTCTAGTCCAGGCATTTCCTGATGTTCCCTACTGTGAAATCAGTAGACAGCATGAACTGAGTGGTGGTCCAGTCTGGTTCTGGGCAGAAATACTGAGCTGTTTGCAGTGGGTTGGGCTTTCAAGAGATATTCCAGAAAAAAATTGCCCTTGTGCTTGAGAGTTTGTGCTGATGGCCCTGTGGAGGCTGGAAGTTACTTTATTGCTTTGGAGAAGGGTGTCTTTGCTCTGAAGTTTGAGACTGCAGTCTTCATAGTGCCTTATCTATGTGGTCATGGTTAACAATACCTGCAGTTCTCCAGCTGTTAGGCAACTTGGTTTCTTCCTCCTTCCTACATGGAGGGAGTGGCAGAAACCAGCCACATTAGTTTGTGCAAAAGCTAGGAACTGAAGCTGTGATTGTTTTATTACTATTTGAAGGAACTTAGATAACAGCATTGGGAAGAGGGCTTTGAAGGGCTGTGAGAGGCCATGGAGAGGGGAAGAAAGTAATTAAGGGCTTAAAATGATGCCAAAGACTTGCTTTTGGTACTTTCAGTGACCTTGGAGGCAAAAGCTTTGTGACCTCTTGTGTTTTACTGTCTGCAGAAGGGGAGATTTTGCCAGGTCAGCTTCAAAACAGCTGTTAGCCTGAGGGAGGAGAACTGATGTGGAGTTAGTCTGTCTTGATGCTGCTGACACAAGAGGAGAAGGAATGGAGATGTACCAAAAGTCAGGGAACAAACTAAGGAGACTATATGTCCTTCAGCCTTCTGTTAAATCCCAGAGCTGCCTGTGAAGGGATCAAAGGCCGGGAAGAGAGACATCCCTGTGGAGCTCAGAAGTAGAGGAATTCTTGTGTGTGTGAAAAAAGTGACCTGGAAGGAAATGCAGGGGAGTACGTGAGGGTAGGGAGAATAACTGGACAGTAATTAACTGAGATTAGTGGGATGGGCAGTAGCAGCATTAGGCAGTCTCTTCATGTGGTCCTCAGGCATGTGGGGGTGATAAACTCTTCAGACACTGACTGGGAAGCTTGCTGCCTGTGACCTGGCCAGCATCTCCCAAAATAGTCAACTCGCAGTGAGTAACTTCCTTTGCGCTGTTCCCAGCTCTCCCTGGCACGTAAATCCTGTCCCCTAGTTCCTCCTGCTTTCCTGTTTGGAGAGAGAGGAGGGATGCTGGGAGAGGCCTTCCAAGGGTCCTTGAGCTGTTGGGTTTCAGCTGGGAAAGTCTGCCGCTGGGCTGGGTGGGAGGCGTAATGTCAGGGTTACATCCTCTGTCCCCGCTCCTGTTTCTGAGCTCCCAGCCTTCACCTGTACTGTTTGTGAACAGGAATATGCTGCTGTTCCTCAGGCATTTGCTGGTCTTCGCTTCCTTTTCACACACACCTGAAGTGTAGATTTGGCTGCTTCTCTCTGAAACGTGTTGCCAGTGTGAAGGGGAGCCAGCAATTATAGCTGCTGCTGGGAGTGCACTTTCCCACACGTTCTGGTCTTGAGGCAGGGAGCCACTTGCTGCCTTGTCTTTGAGGCCCCTCCTGAATTTGAAGACAAAAGCAGAAGCAGCTCCTGTCCTTCCTGCAGTCATTTGAGGGAAGTTCAGAAGAGCTCAGATAAGGAATTTGGATCCTGAAGTCTTACAGTCTTCCCTCCCTGCTCCTGAAAGTGATCGTCATGTTTGTGTTGGAAGTAGACTCTGTAGACTTCCTTGTGCAACGTGGCCCACAGCAGACTTCTGCTGGACTTTGCCCCAGCCCTGGTGTTTCCAGCTGAGTAGGCTTTAGGATTGCTGTCCAGCAAAACTTGCTTTGCAGCTAGTGCAGGAGGCTAGCTGCCTTCCACAGCAAAGGAGGGAACTGCTGTGGAAGCATAATGCTGGGCAGTGACTGTAGTCTTAAATCCACATACAGACAAGCTGTCATCTCTATTCCTCTTGGAACTGTTCAAGCAGATGAGGTAAACGTTAGCACCACAGTTCTCCTCTCTCTTGATACTCAAAGGAACAGGGAGGAGGCAGTGCATGCTTCTTTGCTTCAGTGGATGCTCTGCTAGGATCTCTACTCTGCTCCACAGGTCAGCCAGTACAAAGCTGACAGGATCCTGGTCCTGCCTGCTGCTGACTCTGCAGCACCCTCTGGTGTTAGTGAATCTGTCCCTTAGCTACTCTTGTTTTCTCCTTTCTGTCCATCTCTTGACTAAGGAAGCTCCAAGAAGAGGAACCACACGAAGGAGTCTCCCACAGTGAAATGCTCTCATGTATATTCAGTTGCTGATTATCAACCAGTGGCTGATTTATGCAGGCCACAGACTAAACCCAATGTAATTTCTTCTCAAGTGTTCCCCTCCTTTACTTTTGTGCTTGTGTATGGGCTGAAACCTTCCTTTCTGTAGTCTCCACCTGGAATGACTCCTGACTTTTTTTTTAAATTTAGCTACTGTGGAATTATGAAGCTCTGTCTGCCTTTTTTGTTCTCCAGTTGTTTTCTTCTGCCTTTGCATCAGATGTCCCTGATGCACTGCATGAGCAGCATCTTGAGCTGCAGTTATTTACAATGAAGGATGAAGCTGAAAGAACTGGTAGCTCTTTGTAGTTGCACTGCTGCAAAACTTAAAAGGAATTTAACAGAAGTAAAGAAAAACATCTAACTTAAATATTCTACTGTGAGTTTTTAGCTAATGCCTGGCTCTGTTATTAAATTCTTTCTTGTTTGTTTTCCACTGAAATGCCCTGCTCAGATGCAGATGAGGTCAATAGTCAGTTTTGGGGTTTTGCTACATATGTCTTATTATACCGCATGTCTCCACCAAACCATTGCTCTGTCTGTGTCACTACCATTCATGTAAATTCTGTGCCAAAGGAGTCGAACTTGGCACATACTCTGGTTGCCATGTTGCTGACCTGAATTCCAGCTGCATTAGAGGGCCTTCCTCACCAGCTTGCAGACCCTCAGGCTCTGATGACTGCCATCAACAGTGGGTTTCTGGAATTTGTGAAAACCGAGGGCTGCTTTGGTTCTGCCTGTGAGCGGATGTTAGGAACCTGCTCCTGTGTGTACACTGCAGTTAAATTGCAAAGATAACTTTTGTAGGTTGATTTTTTTTTTTAAAACCAACCCTTGTGCAAAGACATTAACAAGGTACCTGCTAGCTGACTGTGTGTGCTGTGTAGCTGGAGGTAGAAAAGAACCCTCAACCAAAACATGGATTTAATGATCAGAAAGCTTTTGTTGAGGTGGAGGAGAGTGGCCCAGCTTGAATTGTAGCCATTGTGGATGGTTGTCTGGCTCTGTGCTAAGCTTTTTTGAATGCATAGTGATAGAGGTCCAATATATAGTAGCCAGATTGGTAAGGCTATGTGGGTGAGAACTTGAATCTGTTGAAACTAGTGGGAAGGTTGTCCTTGTAAACAGAGTTGGGATTTCTTCCTCTTTGGTGTTTCCCTCATCGTGGTCTGACACTGTCTTGCTCTTCTTATTTTTGCAGAACATCCAGAAGATGCTCGGTCTTGCTCCTTCCCGGGCTGCCACCAAGCAAGCAGGGGGCTTCCTTGGCCCACCACCTCAGGCAGGGAAGTTCTCCTAAAGCACAGTTACAGCCTTCACGGAAGGTCTGACCAGTGCACAGGACTGCCTTTGGGAGGTAACAAGATGGGATTCTGCACCAGGCTTCACATGTCCAAAACCAGCCTATGCAGTATTGGAAACATCTTCCACTTGGAGTATTCTACCAGCAGTTGTTTGCTCATCAAACCAAGAAAGTTCTCAGAAGATTACTTGACCTTTTGTTTCTGGTGTTTCTGAGAAATAAATGGCATGGGCATGTTTGTTTAGATGTCTCTTACTTGTGCTGTAGGACAAGTAGAAACACATTGATGTAGTGCAGTTGATATTTACGGCATAGAAATCAACTCGGATAGCAAGAGTGAGATCTGCAAAGTATACAACTTGGAAAATTCGTAACGCTTGTGCTGGGAAGTGACTCTTGTCTTAGCCATACTGGCTATAGTGTTTGCTCAATTACAGAAACAAACCTGGCCTTTAAACTTGAGTAAACTGTTAAATTATGTCAAATGAACCCTTTATTGCCCGAGTGGTTATGACAGCAGCATTTTTGTTCATACATGTTAGTTTATTGCTAAACAGACTGATGATCAGTATGCATCTTTAAAAGGCTTCCTTCTTAGGCCAGGGAGCTTTCTACACTGTCTTCTGCTTCATCAAACAACTATCTGGATCAGTCCTGTTGGCAGGAACTCGCTCACCTTTTTTAAAAGGGGTGAATAAATCTTGCTGCTGCTCTCGAGTTAGGCTGATACCAGGCACCCGTCATGGGGGCTATTGATTCCTTGCCTCTGTGACCAGAGGTTTATCATCCACTGCCTCTTACTGGGAGTTTTTTTACTAGATACAGGGCAAGGAGATAGTTCTGAAACACTTTATGACAGTGTGGAGTGTGTGCAATACTGTATTAAACACTAAATACTGGATTAATTCTCATTAATAAGTTTGGGGCACTTTTATAGGATTAATTAAAAATAAATCGTGTGGAACCTCTATTCAATGTTCTAACTCTCAAAAAAAAAATATTTGGAAGGTAAAGGAAAACAGCTACTGTATACTGAAGTTGCCTAGCTCTAAAGCTGCATGGATTAATTAAAAATAAATCGTGTGGAACCTCTATTCAATGTTCTAACTCTCAAAAAAAAAAATATTTGGAAGGTAAAGGAAAACAGCTACTGTATACTGATGCTGCCTAGCTCTAAAGCTGCATATTTTTTTTTTACTTGCTGTTGTGTTTGATGTAGCTACAACCTTCCAAAAAATTCCTGTTTCCCTTGTGTAACCACTCTTAGATCAGGGGTCTGATTCCCGCAGCAAAACCAGAAACATCCCAGCCTGTTACCTGTGTGGATCAGCCTTGTTGAAGTAGTTTAATCTGCAGTGTATGGTAGTTGGATCTAAGGCATTGAGATCTCATCAGGTGTAATGACAACCTCCACCTTAATGGCTTGGGAAGTGTTATGTGCAGTAACCTCTCATGCTGCTCTTGGCAAATCTGCACGCGTTGCATCACGCTGTGCTCTGTCACCTGGGGAGAGAAGCGTTTGCACACCTAAGTGTTGTTTGAAAATTATTGATCCGTTGCTATATTCTAGTTGTTTTCTGCTATCATTTATTTGATACGGTAGTTCCCTGGGGGTTGTTAATCCTTATAGCAAACTGAGCAGCTATTAGAGGAACTTTTCATGCACCCTGCAATAGATGGCAAGCGCAGTAAGGCGTTTCCTTTCTCTGCCTTTTGCCTGTACGTATCGATTTTTTTTTTTTTTTTCCCCCGTGAATCTTAACAATTTACCAAAAACCCTTAAAAACTTCGGGGTTTCTCTGGGTGCGGTTGGACGTGATACCTCCCAACCGCCAG